TTTTTTTTTATACAGTCTGCTTTGTTTATACAGTCTGCTTTGTGTATGTTGGCAGTTGGAAACATACATAAACAGAAAGTTTAATTTCCTTTGTTACGCATCTGCTTTGTCTGAAACAACTGTTACTGTGCAAACTTTTTTAACCATCTGAAGGTAACAGCTACCAGTAAGTAAACGACTACCCGAAAGTAGCGGCCCTTTTTTTGCCTGATAAATCTGAAAGTAATGGAGGCCATTCCTTTGGGAATTCTACGGTAATAGATTTTTTTGGCTCAGAATCTAATTTGTGGGTTAAATACAAGTAAGATGGTGCCATAAATACTGTCCTGACATACCAGAAATTCTCTGTTATTCCTTCTCTGTGTTGGATGTGGTTATTTATTTCAAGCCTGTTACTTATTTAATGAGTTAAATATGGTCACTCTGCACCCTAGCACTGAGGTTAAACTTACATTGTAAGCAATGTTGCTATTCATTGTTGTTGCTGTCAGTGTTAATTGTGATACATGTTTACTCATTGTGGAGGCACGGTGGCCTCATGTTTAGTGCACTCGTCCCCGGATTGAGTGGTCCGGGTTCGAGCCCTGGCCAGGGACACTGTGTTGTGTTCTCGGGCAAGACACTTAACTCTCACAGGACCTCTCTCCACCCAGGAGTATAAATGGTTACTGGTGAATTGTTGTGGAAACTTAACAAATTGCGGGGGAGTGACCTGCAATGGACTAGCATTCTATCCAGGGGGAGTAGAAATACTCCTTGTTGCTTCATGCTACAGAAACTGGGATAAGCTCTGGCAGGTATGAGCCAGTCGGCTCCAAGGCTTCACTTATTCTTAGTTTATGTTTACTCATTGATACAGATATCAAGATACTGAGGAAGAAGAAGACATTGATGGAGAAAGTGAATTAGACAGTATTATGGAGATAATCAAGGTACAAATTAATAACCTTGTTGTAGTCAATAGTAGGTGGCTTCCAGCAAAAAGCCTTGCATGTTATGACTTCAACTGGCTACTCTGCTGAGCTTCTCCTGTGATTCTTTAGAAAAAGATGGTAAAATTAGCCACCTTCTTCAACAGTAAGCCCCCCTACTGTACTCCAAACAGTCATCATGCAACAGAATTTAAATAACACCGTCCTATGGTATCGAATAGTCAATAAGTTTATTTTTGCTCTTGAGAGCAGTAAAGATGCCATTCAGTGACCTAGGGCGAGTGGAATTTCTTTCGAGGGGTGTACATGTATGTAGATCTAAACCCATCGATCTTGATAAAATGAATTCATGAAACATGTGGCAACTTTTATCTTACTCTCATTAGAATCGCAAAAAGAAAGGCAAACCTGTCCCTGAAGAGTTCAAAGAGGAAAATGTAAGTACCTACTGGTAAACCTCTTCAAACATTCCCCTACAATTAACTGTACCTGCGCCTTTCATTTCATTAGATTAGGAACCGGAAAGGAGGAAGGTCGTGTTAAGGGGGGTCCTTCTTAACTACAGATTAAGAGCAGTTGCGAAGGGAATGCTGAAGGCATTATTTACATGAAAACTATTTTGGGGTGTTTTGCAGTGCTAAGTGTGAATTTTATATGAAGGAACGTTTGCCTTAAAGAAAGTATGATTTTGCTTGAGTAACTAGTGCCAATCCCAAACTGCTCGTTAGAATTTTAAATCCCTAAAACTTGGAAGAAAAGAGGAAGAGTTCCTATTTTTCTTAAGAATCAGAANCTGTCCCTGAAGAGTTCAAAGAGGAAAATGTAAGTACCTACTGGTAAACTTCTTCAAACATTCCCCTACAATTAACTGTACCTGTGCCTTTCATTTCATTAGATTAGGAACCGGAAAGGAGGAAGGTTGTGTTAAGGGGGGTCCTTCTTAACTACAGATTAAGAGCAGTTGTGAAGGGAATGCTGAAGGCATTATTTACGTGAAAACTATTTTGGGGTGTTTTGCAGTGCTAAGTGTGAATTTTATATGAAGGAACGTTTGCCTTAAAAAAAAGTATGATTTTGCTTGAGTAACTAGTGCCAGTCCCAAACTGCACGTTAGAATTTTAAATCCCTAAAACTTGGAAGAAAAGAGGAAGAGTTCCTATTTTTCTTAAGAATCAGAAATAACTCAGCCTTCTTTAAAGCAGTATGTACGGAATTACTGTTTACATGTAAAAGAGGAAAGCCACTGTAGAAGTCTGTTAATATGGGTGTTTATTACCTTATAACTTTTATGATAATGCGAGTTTCATAAAACCCATACGTAGCATTAAGTACCTAGATGTTCTTAATCTATTGACACCAATTTAAATTTTTGGATTTAGATGGCTTTTAAGTTTTAGGGGTTTTTTTTATTCTGGTCACATGACTGGTCAAATATGGCTGTGATTTGAAACTTTGCAGGACTCTTCAATGGAACTAACCTGTGCAAAACCATATCATTAGGAGGTCTGGTTTTCAAAATATGGCAGTTAGAAACCTTCCATAGCAACAAATTCATGACGAAATTGTAGTTAAGAAGGACCCCCCTTGATCCGATCAGTTGGTCCCAGCATCAAGGAATAGGGACCTATATTAAAGTCATGGTTTCTTGTTAAATGGCCATGCATCAAAAGTAATGTAAATCAGGACTTTCATTAAGTTTTGAGTCACCTGCAGTCTTGCTCTGAACACCTGCAACATCAAGAGCCCATCAACCATACTCAGCCATAGCAGGTGTTATGATTTGTGGCCCTTGTTAACAGCCTTGCAAATGTTGTAGCTGACCAAGCTTGTTACTTAGATTGACTTGCTTTTCTTTTTCTTCTTGTAAATAATGTTTCATTTGATCATAAAATTATCTTGTCTTATAAGCTGCTGGATATGAAGACCAAGTTAAATCAACATAAAGAAGATATGAAGAGGGATGCATCAAAAAAGGTAATGTCTAAGACCCTTTGAGTTGAAACTTGGAATATCATTACTTTCCTAATCTGCAATCACTTAGGCCATGTTCAACTGGTATTAACTGTTTTAAGTGTGTAAGTTTGGCTGTGTTTCTTTTAAAATTGTTTTGTGTTCAGTTGCTTTTATCCATGCCTACTCTCCAGGGTTATCCTGGAGTCTTCCAGGTATAAGACCAAATCTAGTCTCCTGTACAGGTCACCAAATCTCCTAGATGTGAAAGAGAGCACTTAATAAGTACACTTTTCACACTTTCTTTGCTTCATTTTTGGGGAAATTGTTTTTGATACTTGGCACCTTTTTGTTGTTGAAGCGATGGAATTCTAGTTTTAACAATCTTTTTAGGGTTGAGAAGGTAAAATTGGTGATCACCTGGATTTTGATTTGTTTAGGTTGGCATTTCTGGGTCTGGTTGATCGGCTTTTTTACTGGGAACATTTTTGGTTGGAACGTTGATTTTGAACAATTTTGAACAATATTCGACAGTACTTTCAGCTAAATCAACCAAACTTGGCTTTCTTGCTCAACTGAATTGGAAGAAAATTCAACCAACACAGACAATGGAAAAGGCTGTTGTTCCTAATAGATCACAGGCTAGCAGTTATCATTTGTTTTAATTGGAAGAGTGCTCTGTTCGGACATTTAAATGAAAACAAGTTGTGGGTAAAGTGGTTTGGCTCAGCAGAATGTTATCTTACTTCAGCTCTAAGAGGTTAACGGTGCCTCTACGTGATTTCCTTAGTAATGTTTTTACTGCAGTTGTCACATTTTTATCAGCTTTGTGATGTATTGTTGAACATATTGTCCCTTTCAGCAATCAGGCAAGAAAGGAAAGACACCTGTTCCTGTTGCGAAGGTTAGAACACTTTTTTGTTCTTGTAAACATGTTTGAATTCAGTTGTAGAAGAGGTTTTAATTGAGTGTCTTAATACCAAAACCAAACTGGTAATTACTTTGGCCAATCAGATAGGATGCTGACAATCAAGTGAACCGATCACAACTCTAAGCAAGTTGTTGCATTGGTGGAAAGGGTAGGAAAATGTGTATGAGCAAGCCACAATAATATTGTGATTTCTTGCTCACACATGTTTGACTCAATTCCTTTTCTCCTCTTGGAAAATAAGGTCAGAACTCATAGATTTACCAAACCAATTATTGGTTTTGGTTTTACTTTTGATGAGATAATGAAGTGGCATTTTTTTTTAATCCATTGTGTAGCATAGTACCTTATGCAAAACCAAACCAAATGCAAATTACTTCACTCAGATGAAAACCTCCCTATCAAGTAATTCTTATTGTGAATTAAGTTATTGTTTCTTGCTGTACATGTTGTTAATCAAAATGTGAATATAATCAAACATTTTCATTTCTAGCCAAAGCCTAAGAGCAAGAAACAACTGCAAGCTGAGCAAAGACGAAGAGAAAAAGTAGGTGTCGGGCTCATTTGCAAAACTTGACATATTTGAAAAAAAAGTCGGTTTCCAGTTATTAAATTTAGTTGTCATCGAGTAGAAGACCTCTAATGGTGATTTATGTCCATTGTAGGAAATGGAGAAGATTGCAATGGAATTGGAAGAGAAACGGAAAGAAGAAGAGGAGAAAGAGAAGCAAAGGAAACAGGTGCAGAGATCTTGACATACAAATTACATGTCTTATATTAAATACATGTAAATGTAGTGTCACATGTTTGTGTGTGTGTCCGAATGGAAAACTGTCGGCTAATGAGCCTTTCTTCCTTTGTGATTGACTGAAGCAATTAAAAAAACTT